AAAGTTCTCTTCTACAATTTTTTGATGAAAAGGCACAGCGGCAATGATGTTTTTTGTCATTAACAGATAGTTACAGGTGGATAGCCTTTGTCAATCATAACAATAATTTGTCAAACTGTGACTTACTTTGAATTTCCTTTCACGATTTTGCGGATATGCGATTAGTTCAGGGGAAATGCTACAGTAACATGGCAGAAGCTGAAAGAACTTACGCCAACAAAGGGAGAGGAGAGTGGTTCCAGGAAGATAGTGGACGGCAATAGCTGTTCGGGTTCCAGGAACAGAGGAACAAGTATTGGGCATAATCGAAACAGGGTCTTCCAGGGACACTCAGAGCACAATAACTGACACTTTCCCAAGCACCAAATAAATACCGAGAAAGGGCTAGATTCCTACCACGTTTGTACGATACACACAGTACAAGGAGCACACACACATGTACAAATAGAGCAGGAGTTAGTTAACTGAAAAGGAGATTACACAGGCACTTGCTTGTTTCGAGTTAACCATTCAAATGTTTGGTGTTGTATGGATTATTAAATTACAAATTTTGTAAACACCAAACACCGCAGAATTCGAGGTTATGAGAACAGGTTGACATTTCGACAACAAATCTTGTTGAATTTTCCGTTTATCCTTGTCTATCTTATTGTCAGTCTGTATAGTTCCATGGTTACCGGAGTTTTAAATAATAACGAAGCAGCAGGTATTTGCGCAATGTTAATTAGGCAGATTACCTTGAAAAACATTGCTTGCTTTTTTCTGATATAGTTTTTTGCAAATTTCTTAGTTTTTAATAATAATAAATTTATTTTACTATATTTTCTGTACTCCTATAACAGCGGCAGGCAACACCTCCAGAGGAATGACGCCAATTTTGAATCACTCTGTATATTTGTCGACTTAGTACAAATGATCCGTTTTATAGTTTTATTTGCAGTTAGCGAATACAATTCTAAACTCAGATGATATTAAAATGTACACCGTAGGATCGATTCAAACGCCGAATTCTTCAAACTCTTTTTTGGAAACTTTAGATTTAGATACGTATTGTCCCAATAGTATTTTTCCCCCTAATAAGTACATTCTTTTAGGTTTTAGGTAGGTACGGTGCTCTGTGGGTTTATTACAATGCAGCCATATTTATATTTTTTATATGAACGTTTTTTTGTATTAGTTTATATGATAATAAAATTTTTATTTTTTATTTTACGAAAAAAAATTATTCTGCATACAAATTTTTGTATTCGTATTCGAGGTACATCAAAAAGTATCAATTTTGTCGTAGAATAAAGTACATTTATTTTTGACATTGTTGAAACTAGTTATTAAGAAAAGTTAATTAGAATTAACACACAAAAAAGTGCATTCAGATATCTGATAATACTTTTCTATGATTAAACATAAAGTTTTGTTGTTTTTTGCATAATTTTTAAGTTGGTTTTATATGACAAACTATTTTATTTTTTATATTACGGAAAAAAGTTACTCTTAATAAAAAGTTCTGGATGTTTTAAATTCTAAAATACAATCGTTAGATGGCATAGTTTACAGTAGTATACGATGTTTGTCAGAATATATGAATATTGCCCAACAGTGAAATAAATGTTTGACAATTTCGAAAACTTTAACTTTAACTAGTTATCTCTTTTTGTTAAACGTTTCTTCGTTACCTTAACGTCTCTTAATCTCTATGTTGCATCAAAATAATCGATAAAAAACAACACTTGATGTTTATCATAGATTGTGCAATTAGACATCTGAACGTACTTTTCAGCTCTTGTCAATTTTAATAACAATTTTCGATATTGCCAAAAATGAAGGTACTTTATTCTTGAGCAAAATTCATATTTTCTGATATACCCTGAAAAAAATATCTGATAGTTCTATTTGATGTTTTGGATCAATCAGAATAGGGTAAGAACTTACGTAGACACATTGTATCCTGTACTTACATCCAAAAACAGTTTTTGTTAAAATTAAAATCTCATCTTACATTTCTATTAGCGGTTTTACATTTTTTTGGTATGACAGTTTCAGCCTTTAGTTTTAGTCATGGGTTAGTTGAACAGGCTTCAGATATTTTGTATCCGACGTACTGAACTTCGCCGTTTTGATTTAAGAAGTCTTTCAGCTGTTGGAGTATTTAACCATAGGAATAGTAGCTTCAAACGTCCGAACATTTTGAAATAGCAGTAATCTGACTTCAGTAAATCTATATGCTACAAGGCACTACGTCTTGATTAAACTAGTCAATAATTATAAACATTACCCATTTATTGCAGTCAATTAATATGGATTCTAACTGAGATTGGCGATCAACATCAATGCATTCAATCCGTATTTTAAATGTTTCGACAAGTAACAGACATCTGGTGGCTTTGAAACTTAAATTAGTCATCTTCATAAATTCCCGCGGCTTTATATTTTTGCATCATTTATATACTCTTATATGATTAGCAACAATTGGGTGCTGGATCATGTTAACTCCAGGTCCTCAATGTTTGATATTCGTTCGCACAGGATTTTGCCTCTTGTCAGTTTCATTTTCTAAACGTATGCAATAAATAAATGGAATGAGTATTTATTTTAATAAGGTAGCGGGTAGAAACTTCCACCTCCACAAGGAATAGTTCTACTTCAGGAATGCGACCCTGCCTACGCAAGCCTTGCGGTATCCTTGAACATTATTTGAGGAAAGCAAGTCCCAAACCTTAGATCCTAACTAACAGCCTCATTCCAAACACATCGTTACCCCGTTATCAACTAACCAATGGGGCCATCTGTGCTACCGAATGGGTACATTGATCTATGCCGATCGGGAACGACAGGTAAAACTTCGGCAAAACCAAAGTTTGCCGATGAATGTAAGGCAATAAGCGAAGCTTCTCAGCAAATCTGCTGCATTGGCTGGATGAGATTCTAATTGCGTCAGTAGTCAAGGGCAAAGAGTATAGCCTGAAAGTAAAAACTCATTTGGATGGATTCATATGTAAAATTTGAAGGGCAAACGCTCTTAAAAA